AAACGAATAGATTTCGGAAAGGGTGAGCCTCTTGCCCGGACTCGACTGGATGGCCATGACGATCAGTGCGATGTACGAGTACGGCGGTTTCTCCTGGCGTCGGGCGCCGGGCTTCCTCGGCATCTCGGAGTTTGACGGATTGCACATCAGCGGTTCTAAGCCCGTCTCTTGCTGCAAGCCGCTCGCGTTCATCGGCAGCACGCCCGATCGCGCGGCCACTGTGGACGAATTCGCGTGTACAACCTCCTGCTGGTGCAGACTGGAATCGGATTCGTTTTTCATGGCGAGCCGCACGCTGTCGGCGTCGCGCAGCACCGATGGCACAATCACACTCTGGTCCATCGAGGTCTCAATTCCCGATCGTCAAAGTCCGACCGTGGCGAACATCCTACGCGCGGTATCCTTCCAAGTTTTGCAGGGCGGTATGCCGAAGCTGCACTCTCTCGTTCAAACGAACGCACTTCGCGATTCGCGACGATGTCTTCGCCGCATAGAAGTAGTAAAAACAATCCAACTATCGTCGGTATTGAAAAATCGAAATCAAACTAGGATTCCGTCATTTCACGGAGCAACGAACTCGCGCGGGACCTTCGCCGCCCCCCAATAAGCGCGACGCCGAGGTCGTGAATATTTACACGGTCGGATGTAAATTGTTTGCGCGATTCCACCGCGGAGGGGTCAGTTATTTAGACGCGCTTCAGCGGCAAAACGGCTTACAGGAGTAATACTGTGATGCGCCGCTAAGTGTTTTCGGATGACTGCTGTTCGCTCGCTCGCAACGAGAGCGGAATCTCGCCCGCGGATGACGTTGCGTCGTGACAGCGTCGAGACGGGCGTCTTCTCCCATGGGCGTGCCGACGAAGCTGGGTACGCGGAACACGCATTGGCCGCGTGCCGATACTTCGAACGTAAGCCGGATGCTGCGACCAATGGCGCACCGCACCGTCCTCGCATCATCACGACTCTAACATTTTCTTCTCCGTCACGGAATTATGGGGAAGTGGATTGCATAATGGCGTTATCTAGATTTGTCCGTCGGTGGTGTGCTCATTATGCCCGATGGAAATGCCATACTTAACATTGGTGTAAGAGCAAAATGAGATAAAATATAGTACTTGTTTGTGTTGGGGTGAGTTTCAAAGCGGAAAGTATACATCGAAAAAAAAAAACGTTTGTGAATTAATTGCAATAAAATTATGAAACGATAGGAGCAAAAGAAGCCAAGATATGATTTCAAATCAAATATAATTTATACGCAAAATTTGTTGCAGGATTAATAAAGAATGTTAACGTATTCAAAGTGATATAGTCCGTAATGATGTTCGTCGATTTGTCATAAACGAAATGGAAGAGAACGAAAAGATAAGTTAGGTTAGGTTTAAGAGTCAAATTGCTAATACATTAACAATATCTTATCCAGCCTTACCAATTCTCGTTGCTAATATTATTAGCAACGAGATAGCCGATAGTCCATAATGATGTTCGTCGATTTATCATAAAAGAAACGGAAGTGAATGAAAAGATAAGTTAAAAGTTCAAGAATCAAATTGCTAATACATTAGCAATATCTTATCTAGCGTATTCTCATTCTAATCTAGCCAATTCTCATCCTAAGTTTCCACACACACAATCGAGAACGCTCTGCGCAGCATATGAACACGATTCTCTCGAGTGCGTGGAAAGGATGAGAATTGGCTGATATATTAATGGTTTTTATAACACAATACAAATTCATTCGAAATCTAGCATCTGGTTCCTTTTGCTCCTATCGTTTTTATAATTTTATTATTAGTTGAGCCTTGTCATTTTTAATTTTAATTGCAATATTTGAGAAAAGTTCAAAGGATATCTAAAAATTGTCTTAAAAAATGTTTCAAAAATTTGTTTTTTAGACTCTGACTGGCATGGCATAAATTTTTTATGTTAATTTACAAAATTCTGTGTTATAATAATTGTGATTATTTCCATAAGAAAAATTATTAATACATAATTTTGAATATATTAACGTTTTGATGAAAACACAATTATAGATTTATTTAATGATATTCTCTGACAAGAATTTTCGAAATATTTTATTCTTCTTAATATAACATTTTTCTTTCATAAGTTTTTTGAGAAATTTAGAATCAATTTTTCTTTAATTAAAATATTAAAGGAAGCTAAAGGCTTTTGATTGTTAATCTATAATATTTTTTAGAACTTTTTTAATCTTTAAATTAAAAACTTGTTGAAGTTAAAACTACTTGAAGAAATTCGATATAAAACAAGTTGTACAAGAGAAATTCAGTACAAAATAATTCAATACAAAATAAGCTCTTTTAGTTTTGCTAGAAATCTTTCCTTTTTAATCGCTTATAAGAATTGTTGATTTCTCAATGTTTTTATTGGGAAAATATCGATTTAAAATTGATTGGAAGAACCTATAAAAGATGGTACGATAGAATACGCCGTATGCGCCGATTCTAAGATATTGCATCTCTATTTGAATATGCATACACATATATCTTCGTATTGATACTGTGTGGTTTATTGATGTAAGTGAAAATTCCTACAAGAATTCACGGCAATGTAAGCGATACTAAAGCGCTCATCATCGATATCCTTTCCACAAACAATTCGTACTTATTGTTAGTTTGCTTGAAAATTGCAAGTAAGTATCGCTTCGAGGGATATCTGTGTATGCTGAGTAATGTATCCATCTTCGGAGGCATCGCGATGCGGATGCACAGCTGCGGATGCATACGATGAAGAAGATGAAGAGAAGCTATTGGTCCATTTCTTAACCAACGGGACGTTGAGCGTTTGCTCCGCCTGTTCATGGAACACGCCTTTCGCTATTTTCTCACGATAAGCTTCATCGTCGCAAAGTACAATTTTTTTCTCGGCAAAGTGAAGCTTTCTTGAAGATTTCAGTGGTTTCATTATTTGCGTCTGATTTTACTGACCTTTTTTAAATTCAGAACAATGATATTATTATTGTTATTAAGAATAAAATTATTAAATGTAATAATGTTGCAGAAAAATTAAATTAATTAAATAAGTACTAATTTGTGCGAGATAAGGCTTCTGAAATTGTGACAAATTATGTGCAAATTCTTTCGCTATTTTTAAATAACCGAGTTAATAATGCGTTAAATAATTAAATAACCACAAAACTTTTAAGGAATTAGAAATTTGATTAACATCAAGATTCTTCATTAATGGAAAACATACGTGCGATCATATGATAAAAGGATATTATATTATATAGTGTAAGAATTTTACAGACTTATATATTCTATTATATTGTGTAGAAATTTTATTGCGAATCGAACAAGATAGATGCACCATCCGTTTTCGGCGACGCTATTGCAAATAATAAAAAAAGAGAATTGATTCTTATAATGACTGTACGAATACGATGTGCAATTCTTTCTTATGTAAAAGTTATCGCAAATACACATTTTCTGTGTACGTACGTTTTACACGTGCACTTACATAATAAGTAACGCGTTCTCGTCTAAATCCAAATTCTCTCTCTTTTTCTCTACATATCATACACAATACTTTTATTGTCTTTTTTAAATACATAACGATCTGGCTTCGGTGTTCTATATAATTTATTAGTAACAATATATTTTATATTAATAAATTGATATCAAAGTATATTTACAAATATATTCTAACATTTATTTAGAATATTTATCTACAACAATTATTTAATAAACAGTCATAAATATGTTGCTTTTTTATAATTAAAGTAAAGAATTATTAGTTTGCCATTTTAATTTCACGACATACGTTATTATAATTTTTGCCACGCTGTGAGTGTTAGAAACAATTTTCTGGCCTAGTTATTGTTAGGAATAAAGATTTTCATGTGCCTATTAATGACACTCGCCAGGCAATCGTCATTCGATACCAAAGACGGTGTCAGTGATCGAAGTGTCTATGACGATCAATCGGAAAGAGATGTGTTTATTCGGCTTCACGCGTGACCAAGTGTCGAATGACCAGCAATGACAGAAAGAAAGAATTCATGCCTTATCACAGTGACCCATTCCACGTGCTTCAGTTTTATTGCGATCCTTGAGAGACTGGTCTCGAAAGGATGGCACTTTCGAGAGCTCGTAAAGAAAATTTTACTCGTAAAATACGAGAGTTTGCTGAAGCCCTGTCGAAAGGAGGTGCATTCGATGTAGAAAGGCAAATACAATACTATAAAACTTTATGATAAATGTCTAGATAAAACTTATTTGTAATAATTAATGTAGCAAAGCATATTGAAAAAGAACCAATGCTATAAAGTTTTAAAATATCTAGATAAATTCATTTTACAAAATTTTTAATAATTAACACACAATTGCATATAATGAATTATTTAAATGCAATGCACAGGTACAGGTTGTTATAAGAAAAAAAACATTTTAGTTAGATAAATATTCTTAAAATGTATTTTTTGTTAATATTTGTTTCATCTTAATAAAATAAATTTTAGAAAAATTATAATATTATAAATTCTATAGATTTTTCGATCAATAAATTTTGTCGTATGTCTTGTATTAAATCTTCTAATTTCTAAAGATTTTAACAACTAGATTTTCTTATTTTTAGATATTTGTATTTAATGGCGCAGTCATTTACTTTACGATTTTATTCAGAGAGATAATGTGTTTTAAACAGATAAAAAAAAGAAGAAATAGATTTTGTCACCAAATTATCAACTAATATGGATTAGAGAAAAAGAGATTGCGTACGAAGATGTTGGATATGCGATAAATACTGTAGACCACGAATTCTCAGGAGGAGTTTGTTTGCCTTGGAGCGAACGAGCTGACGAAAGAGGAGCAGAACGGCCATCTTGTCTCTGTCTTCGTACTTCCTCTTGCGCCGGCTGCAGGACTGCGCTCTTCTTCCTGCAATCTGTGTCATCTAACAGTCTTCTTGATCCATTTGCTATAATTAGGACAATGAATACTAACGGAATACATGTCACATTTATCAAAAACCCAAAAGACATTTGCTTTCATACTGTTAAAACATATATTGATTAGTTTTTCTCTTATTGATTTAACATAATTCTCTATTGATTTAATATAATTTTTTTCATAAATATCTTCTAATCTTATTTATGGCAAATATTTCCTACTTTAATCTACTTAGTTTATTTATATTAAATATTGAAAGCCATGCTTTCAACTGTTATCTTAAAGATCAGTTTTATATCTTTTCAAATTAGATTCAGTTCAGTCTTCTGGAAATGATTTTTTGTCCGAGTTATGCAGTTTTGAAATCAACCCTAATTTTTGTGAAAAATAATGTTTATCACTGGCATTAGCATTAGCGTAAAAAAAATGCAGATTTAATTTCAAAGTCGTGTAACTCAATAAAAAAAAAAAAATAATAATTGTAGCAGAATTAAAAAAACGCGTCCTGTATAAATATTGTAGTTTTTGGTACTTGTCATAAATTTTTCAAAAAAAATTTTGTTATTAAGCTACAAAGTGTTGAATGTATATAATTTTTAAAAGCAAACAAAACAACATGTGTTCTTTTTTCGGCTTAAAAGTGTGAAAATAAAAAATGTTCGAAAAAGGTCTAAAGATGTAAAAGTACAAACTTCAAGCTTTGAAATACTCTCTTAATTTTTTGTCTGCGATTATTTTTTGCCGAGTTTCAGCGGTTTAAAAATTGCTCAATTTTTAGTATTTAAAAAGTGTATTTTTTATGGAGTAGTATATATTTGAATACTTTGTTTTACAAAAAGTT